CCCCCCCCCCCCCCCCCCCCCCCCCCGTCGATAAAAACAGGCAGCAACATAGTGCTAAGCTAGCAGTCAGACAACACAGACATGACTCCACCCCACCCTTCTCCACCCCCCCCACCCCGTCTACAAAAATAAAATACGACCAATGCCCCGCCAAGGGAAATGATCTAGGGTCAACGCTGAATCGTATAGTTAATGTAAGGCCCGTCATGATAACAAATTTTGCTGGGCAATTAATTTTCTCAGAAATTATTGCGATAAGCAATAATATTGTTTGAAATTTGACAATAATTAGTAATTATTGTAAAATTTAAGAAGAACTGTTGATTAATTTGTTTTGCGTGTAGTACATTTTTTCGACCACCTGATGGCAGTATAAGACTATTTGAACCAAAGGATGGATAGTGAGGGAGCGAGCAGCGTGTCTCTTTAAGAAAAATGGGAGGGAGGCCCCTTGACGTGACCTGGGCTGTCTCTCCTTCCTGTTTTCTGGTTCTCAAAATGGCGGACGCTCGGTGTGGTTTGAGCTCTTTAGCATAGCATTTGTCACACAATGCTTGGCTCACTGGCAACAGAAATTAGCCTCAGAATGTCCAGACATAAAGAAGTCATCTATGACTCCGAAAGGTTTCAAAGTTCACGCTACAAACAGCGTCTTGGGACTGAACTCTCCACAAAACAGGAAATGGGCTACTTATTTTTTTCCAGCTGTGTAACCTGAGGTACCCCATGTTCTTACAGTTGGGAAGGAAAAGAGATTTCTGCTTAGGTCACAAACTTCTGTGGCAGAGCAACTGTACTACTGTATACACTAAAGAGATCCCCCATGAGGGGTGGGGGGCTCACGGCTCGAAGCAGGAAGAGACTAAAGTTGACGTGTTCATGCTCGAAACGGGCTTTCAATCACAAAGGAGACAGGAGCAGTTACCGAAACGAAACGAGACCGCCGAGGCATTCAGGGGGAAGTGAAAACAAACGACCGACTGTTGAAAAGAAACACGGTTTCGTCTGTCGATAATCACTCATTTCTATTATTTGCACACATCCTGACCTTGGTTTTATAAGAGAACGATAAAAGGGCCGACCTCTGAGACATCTACAAGATTGATTGCATGTTTGACACTTTTATATTTTGCTCCAGTCGTGACTAATGGCTCGTTAATGAGGTTCTGGCACCCGGTGTCACACAGTTTATAAATGAACACGAAGTGAAGCTGGATGCTGAGCTCCCAATTGGTAAAAACTCTATTCCTTACATCTGTTGAGCTTTTTTCCTCAGTGTTTTAGAGAACAGCTTTCAAAACCCATGAAGGATTAAAAAATATATTCTATTGATTTCCCACAACATCAGCGATCCCGCTCATCTCTAACGTAGCTATTCACAAAAAGGTCACAGCGACGGTAAATACTCTTCAAAATATCATGTTTGAAGCACAGACTGACGACAGAACATGAAAACAAAGAATACGATGATGACTAAGTTGTAGATTGGGTTTTGACACGCACTGTCTTCTGCAATGTTCTGAGGAAAGAATAAACTCAAGACCAGAGAAGAAGAAAAGAAGAAATTATAGGTGTAGCGCTCCTTGAAAAATTACAAATTGCCCACCGGCTTTCGTGCCATTATGTGAGAAGAAATGGAGGTAAAGTCGATTCAGGCAAACTTTGAAAACGGCACTATGTTCAATCTCATGCAATTCTTTAAGATGTGGTTGTTGTTAAAGAATGTACTGAGGATGATTCTCAGCTTTTATTCTGTGAATGTTTATCAAGCGTTCACACTTTTGTGATACAGTTTTCTTCCGTATGTTTTTCGGCGCGATTCTCATCCTGCAGTTTTCAAACTATTTCAACAAATCATTTCAAAACATTCAGCAATTTTTGTACAATACTTTTGATATTGGTGCAACTTTAGCTTTTTGAAATGTTTAGCCTTTCCTGACATTTTGTTTTCTCATAGAAAATGAATTGAGCTCATCTTACATCCTTCATATCTTTACATCTGTTTACAAATTTTACTGCTCCTTTCACATTTTGTTCTGGTTCAGCTTCTTTCAGCTTCCTTGTGCAAATTAAAAAAGCAGCTATTTTCAGGTAATTTCAGCTGTTTTTCATCTGTTTGTGCTCCTTTCAGATTCTTTCCGTGAACTACAACATTTTTGTGCGTCTTCCAACTTCTTTCTGCTAATTTCAGCTTGTTATGCTCCATTTAGCTGATTTCTGCAAGTTTTCTGCTTGCTATTTAAGCTTTTTCAGCTAATTCCACATTTTTGCACACATTTCAACTTTTTTCAGCCTAATTCAGAAAAATGTGCCCTCGCCACTTCCTTCTGGTAATTTCAGCGTCTTTCTGCTTTTTAGCTATTTTTCAGCTTTTTTTTTTGTTTGTTGCTAATTTCAGCTTTTTTATTTTTTTAGATAATTTACACTTTTTTAATGCTCATTTCTGCTTCTTTCAGCAAACATGTTCTTTCTGCTTTCTTCTGCTGATTAAGCTTGTTCTACCTTTTCAGCTACCTTTCAGGCATTATTTTAGCTAATTTCAGCTGCTTTCAGATAAATTCAAGTTTTTCGTAGTAATTTCTGCTGCTTTCAGCCTAATAAAATTCTTTATGGTAATTTGAGCTTGTCGTGCTCCTTTCAGCTTTTTTCTGCTAGTTTCAGCTACTTTTTAGCTGTTTTTGCTCTAAATTTAGCTTTTTCATCTAATTCCACAGTTTCTTTAGCTCATTTCAGCTCCTTCCACTTCTTTTTGGTAGTTTAATCTTCTTTCTGCTTCTTTCAGCTATTTTTTGTTGCTAATTTAAGTGTTTTTAGTTAATTTACTAATTTTTGTACTTATTTCTGCTTATTTAAACCTAAATCAGCAAATACGTGTTCTTTCTGCTTTCTTCTTCTAACTTAGGCTTGTTCTTCCATTTCAGCTCCATTTCAGCATGTTTTTTTGCTAATTTTAGCAGTTTTTCAGCAAGTTCTTCAGCAATAAGCATTTACAGTGCATTTTCGCAGGAAATGCAATTTCTCTAGTTATGTATAAAATAGTTCAATACGTGAAACTGACTCAGCTGTGGCTCTTTTTGCTAATTAACTGTGGTGGCTATCTTGAATTAGATTAACTCCAAATATTAATGAGTTGTAGATGTACATTAAGAGATTCAGCAGTCTGTCCAGTCATTCAGGAAATATTTCGCTAACAGTCAAACACGAGGAGTTAATGCCAAAGCTTTAAGCAAAAGTATTGTGGAGTTTGTGGCGCATGAAGTGCACGTTGGGGAAGACGCTCAGCTACAAAACACCAAATAATCAAGATCTGTAACATTAGCCGACTTTTAGCCATTTGTGTTTTCTAAGGCAGCTGTGGCGGCCATATTGGTTTGTGTTCTGAAAGTTGCATTAAAATCAGGTCAGCAGTTCATGAGATATTTTGCTAACAAACACAGTCCACTCCAATAGATTTTAAAGTTTTAAAAACAGATCTCACGTGAACCTGCGTTGGCTTACGAGCAGATTCTCCTCCAACCCAGAAGTTCATTTTTCAGTTGTTCTAAGGTCCCGGAGGCGTCCTCCTTCTGAATCTCTGCCTCCTAACGTCTCCTGCGTGAGAACAGACTCGTCCTCTCTCCTCAATCTTGAGTTTTTCCTCCCCGAGCACAGCGACGCATGAAAACATTTATTTCACTCAGCTGTTAGCTGATGTTCCACATCAATTAATAATTCATCCAAGGCTTAAAGTATCAGCTCAGTTAAAGTCGCTCAACTTCAAAATGCAAATATTTTGAGAAAAATCAGCGGGAGTTTTGATAATTCGCGGCGGGACTGCTGCGTTACGGAGTTGTTTGGCAGCGATTAAAAACTGCTGCAACGCCTTCAAACTCAAATATTAGTTTTACCACTTTGAGCAGCTTTTTCCTCAACCCTTAACTCGATGTGTTCACGCCGAGTACTCAACAGACAATAAAGATCTTATGTGCTTTACGTTGGTTTGCAGTAACACTAATGTAAAAAACTAATGTTTGCTAAATAGCACCTAAACTGTAAGAGATGAAAATCTCATGTCCAAACCTCAGTATCTCTTGGCTTTGCAATAAAATATTTTCCACTGACATCACCTGACAGGCTTTGAACGGTCTTCTCCGTGTGAAATTGATCATCTTACCTCCGATCGCGCTGCACCTGGAGATGATCTCCCACAGAACAAGAGCCATGGAATAAACATCAGCCTGTTTGAAAGACTCGATGTTTTCCAGATTGATTCTGGACTCCAACACCTCGGGGGCCATGTACCTCGCTGTTCCCACCTGAAAACAAACAGAAGGAAATTTATGGGACTGCAGTTCTTGAGAAGCCGGCGGGTGATTCGCCGTGCAACTCTTAGTTGTGTGAACGTTTATGAAGCATTCACACTATTGAGATACGTTTTTCTTCCGTACGTTTTTCAGCATCTTTCTCAGTCCACAGTTTTTGTGCCGTTTCAACAAATCAAAAATCAAAACGTTCAGCTCGTTCAGGAGAAGGGTATTACGACTGTTGGTATTGGTGCAACTTTAGCTTTTTGAAATCTTTAGCTTTTTCTGCCTTTTTTTCCTCATAGAAAATGAACTGAGCTCATTTTACATCCTTCAAATCTTTAGATCTGTTTACAACCTTTTACTGCTCCTTTCACGTTTTGTTCTGCTTCAGCTTCTTTCAGCTTCCTTATGCACATTTAAACTTTTTTTGGCTGCTTTCAGCTGTTTTTTTTAGCTGTTTTGTGCTCCTTTCTGATTCTTCCTGCTAACTACAACATTTTTGTGCTTTTTCTAGCTTCTTTCTGCTAATTTCAGCTCATTATGCTCCATTCAGCTTATTTAAGCACGTTTCAGCCTTTTCAGCTACTATTTAGCTGTTTTTAAGCTAATTTTAGCTTTTTCTGCTAATGCCACATTTTTGCACTCATTTGAACTTTTTTCAGCCTAATTCAGCACAAATGTGCTCTCTCCACTTCCTTCTGGTAATTTAAGCTTCTTTTTGTTTGTTTTTTTAGCTACTTTTCAGCTGGGGTTTTTTGTGTGCCAATTTGAGCTTTTTTCAGATAATTTTATCTTTTTTGAGCTCATTTCTGCTTCTTTCAACCTAACTGAGCAAACAAATGTTCTTTCTGCTTTCTTATGCTAATTTATGCTAGTTCTACCTTTTCAGCTAGTTTTAAGGCTTTTTTTTTCTAATTTCAAGTTTTTGTGGTAATTTATGTTGCTTTCAGTCTAATTAACTTATTTCTGCTAATTTAAGCTTTTTTGCTCATTGCAGTTTGTTTCTGCTAGTTACAATTATTTTAGCTACTTTTTTACGCTTTAGCTTTTTTGTGTGTGCTAATTTCAGCCTTTTTTGTAGCTAATTTCTTAAATTTTGTGCTAATTTTAGCTTATTTAAATTTAAGTCAGCAACTATCTGTTCCTTCTTTCTTCAGCTAATTTAGGCTTGTTCTTCCATTTCGGCTACATTTCAGCATTTTTTATTTTTATTTGCTAATTTGAGCTGTTTTTCAGCAAGCTGTCTTGCAATAAGCATTCACACTGCATTTTTACAGGAAATGTAATTTCTCTAGTTCTTGTTTATGATGAATTAACTGATGGTCATTAAGTTCCATATACATTCATGTCACAACAAATTATTTTGAATCAAATGTTCGGAGAAATTGAAAAGCAAAGATGGCTCTCAGTTCCTCTCTTAACATTATTGCCCATTCAGCAGAGCTTCCTCCAAACGCATTAAAGCCATTATAATGCATTAGTTGTCCTGTGCAGCAAAGGGTGAGTCCTTTTCACGATGAGTCATTCTGAAAACACAACGCAATGCAGCTCTGGATTATTACTTCAGAATTTTAATCCCATTAAGCTTCAATCCAGCGTATATGTCTTGTGACTATAATGAAACCCCAGCCTGAGGGTGCAGACTCCAATGTTTTCACCAAACGTGTGTACCTGGTGCCAAGATATGGAGTGCGCCAAATATTTAGAGTGGGAAATTAAAGATTAAAGTTAGACTGACGGCATAAGTCAGAGTAATTAATTAGAGGCACAGAAAAATATATAAATTATAACCACAAGTGGAGCGTATGACAAATAAAGAAACTTTGACTTTTGACTTTGAAAATGGGACTTCTTTTTAAAGAATACACCAATACCAGTATCGGGTATCAGTGTATCAGGTATCGATACAGGGTACAGAACACAGATATCGTGTATTGATTGGGTATCGATACAAGGTACAGGACATAGATATCATGTATTGATATCTATAGGAAATTAAATAAATTTTACAAATGACCGACACAGCGAAAACTGTTCGACCCAAGTCCTCCAAAGTGTGGGAGAACTTCACAAAGATAAAAACTGCAACATGCAGCTTTGAAAAAGTGACGACACGAGAGAATCACGGAGATAAACGTAAACATGTCGGAGTCACGAGGAGGAGGAAGCTGCAGCTGATACAACTCGTCATGTGTTGCAGGTGAGTCTCTACAATATTCACATGGTTCTGTTTCCAAGAGAGAAAACGTAACGTCAGTCTGTCTGTAGCTGCTGCTTGTTTGTTTGTTTGCTGAATAATGACGGTGATAGAGAACGTGTGTTACTTTTTATTTTATTTAATTGGTACAAGCAGTGTTTAAATGTGATTTATGCTCAATAATCCAGGTATACAATCCAACATTTTTCAGTCAGCTCATCTGGACAGTTTCTTTTTTTTTTTTTGTGCTGAAACGTTTGACCTTCGATCCGGAAGACTTCATGAGTCAAGGAAACACACAACAAAACTGATTCTGTGTGTTTCCTTGACTGATGAAGCCTTCCGGACCGAAGGCGAAACGTTTCAGCACAAAAAAAAAGAAACTGTCCAGATGAGCTGACTGAAAAATGTTGGATAATAATTTAATGATTAAGCTTCAACTTTTAATTTGCTGGCAAAGGCTGAAAACACTGCAGGTATGGCAGGATGAATTGCATTTAAACAGGAATTAAAGTAATTTATTACATATACTCAAATGTGTGTAATTAAGTATTATATATATGTGTGTGTGTGTGTGTTTAATTGCTCTTTTAGCTACTTCTGCCTGAACCTAACACTGTAAGTGAAACAAGGCATTTCTTGAGTTGCTGTAAATTATGCTATAATACATATTTACTCTCTCATTCCAGAAAACAACAACAAACAACAACACTTCATGATGGACGGACATCATGGACACCACAGCAGCAGCTGTCTTCACTGAAACATCCTGAACATGATGGTCACTGACACGAGGCCTCTGTCGATGGTTGAAGACGAAAGCTTCACTACAATGATCCGCACTTTTAATCCAAGTTACAATAATCCACACTTTTAATCCAGGTTACACTCTTCCCTCAAGGACACATTTTACAAAGTAGCTACATATTGTGCAGGTATAAAGATACATTTGTATATATTTTTGTGTACATTTATTTTTTTCAAGCTATCTGACCAACTTTTGTTTTTTATTATTCAATATTTTACTAACAGAATAGTCAAATAGCAACCTGTTTTTTGTGTGAATTGCTATGTCAGTCAAATGTTCAATTTTGGAATAAAGGGGTGGAAATTAAAACGTTTTTCTTTTTTTTTTGCCGATTCATCGATTAATCGCAAAAATAATCGGCCGATGACTCGATTATTGAAATAATCGTTAGTTGCAGCCCTAGTTTTAATGCAACGTAAGGTTGTTTGCTACCCACCACCAGAAGACGAGCAGGCCCCTGTGGAGGTATTTTACAGAGAACGAGTGCGTAGTAGAAGGAAGTATACGGATCTGAGTCTGAGCTTCCTGGCAAACTCATCCCGTGTCCTTACCAAAAGGATGAAGACCTCCAGCAGCATCACTGTTGTTGAGGTGAAAAAGAACATCGTTATAAAGCGTGAGAAAGAGGACGTGAACTAAACTGACTGTGGTTATCAAAGTCTTCCACCACAGGTCAATGACAAGCCCAAAAAGCTGCTTAATGAGCTGCTTAATGAGCAGCAACTGCCAGCAGCGTCTCAGAGGAAGAGGCTAAAGCTTCCAAACTGTGGTTTTACGTCGTCACTCAACTTGTGCTGCTGCAGGATGAAAGTCTCAGCAAGGTGAATGACCGAAACTCTGCCCACGTCCTTATTGTTTTATAATGTTTATTTTTCAGCCTTTAGCTGTGTTACTGGTAGGACTAGTGCCTGTAATGTGCTGACAACGACTGTGGAGATGACTGGTCAACACGATAAGCATTCTTTAGTGTGGTAGCGTTTGAACTACTTTAATTTTAAATATAGTTTTTTTATATCCAAGTCAAATCAAATTAAAAGAGTAAGCCTTACCTGGCCGCTGTTGGCCAGCTCATCCACAGACAGGGAGTTGTCCAGCCGCAGAGCGAGGCCAAAATCACAAAGGCAGCACGTCAAGTCCTTCTTCACGAGGATGTTGGAGCTCTTAATGTCCCTGTGGGCGACGGACACCTTACAGCGGGCGCAGGGAGTCTGGTCACTGTGAAGGTGTGCCACTCCACGAGTCAGTGACCTCCCCAGCAGCCACAAGTCATGCCAGCTGACAACATGGTGGCTCAGATACTCTTGGAGGTTTCCCAAAGGCTGGTAAGCTGTGATCAGCCAGTACTGTCTTTGCACTTTCCTTTCCTCCGCCGTCAGAAAGTGGAGCACGTTCTCGTGCCTCAGGTCCGCATCGGAGAAAACGTCCTTCTCGTTCTTCCAGGAGGCGTACTCCTCGTACGGGAAGATCTTAACAGCCACGGTGTCGAAGCCCAGCTTTGCTTTGTAGACCTCGGCAAAGCGTCCTTTCCCCACCAGGAGGTCCAGCTCAATGGGCAGCAGCTCGGTGTTGTGGTTCAGGTTGTTGGCGTGCGTAGAGCTGCTGTCCGAACCCTCGTCGCTCATGATGGGGGCGTTGCTGAAGTCCAGCGGCGCACCCTTCTTGTGACTGGAGTGGGCTTGGCGCTGGCGGTAAACCCGGTAACAGTAGAAGAACGTGATGACTACAACAGCCATGACCAGAAGAGGCACCAGGCTGACGATGATGACGGCCACCACCTGAGCATCTGTGAGGGCAAAGCAGACTTGGTGACATGTTGGGACTGGCAGTGTTTCTGATGAACAGCGTCTGCAGCCGGACTAGCCTTTATAAAAATGACAGTTGGGCTTCTTCCTTCTCTAACCATCTCCACCATGACAGAATCCACGTCTGACAACCCAAAAGTCTAAGGATCTTGAATGAAGTTGGCGACACACCATCAACAACGAAGCACGTGAAGCCATTTTACTAGACCCCTAAAAAAAACCTGCAGCACGCGGGTTCTTTTTGTGGAGTAATTAAAAATCTTACTGCCGTTATGTCACTTTCATGGGATGCAAGAAACGGTCTCGTTTTAAACAAACGGTAAGAATCCTGCTGCGGGCTTTTCTTAAAGTACTTTAACAAACACACGGGAAGGAAGAACAACTGCCATACTCTTGTGTACATTTTACTAAACTAATACCTTTTATTGTGTGAATGTTTATGAAGCATTCTCACTATTGTGATGCATTTTTCTTCCGTACGTTTTGTGGCATCTTTCTTGTTCCATGATTTTTGTGCTATTTCCAAAAAAAAAAAAATCATAAATCAAAACGTTCAGCTCTTGCTTTGACTTTTGGTATTGGTGCAACTTTAGCTTTTTGAAATATTTAGCCTTTTCTGTCGTTTTTTTCTGATAGAAAATGAAGTGAGCTCATTTTACATGCTTCAGATATTTAGATCTGTTTACAACCTTTTACTGCTCCATTCACATTTTATTCTGCTTCAGCTTCTTTCAGCTTCCTTGTGCAAATAATTTCAGCTGTTTTGTGCTCCTTTTAGATTCTTTCTGCCAACTACAACACTTTTGTGCTTCTAACTTATTTCTGCTAATTTAAGCTTGCTGTGCTCCTTTCAGCTTATTTCTGCAAGTTTAAGCTATTTCAGCTACTATTTAGTTGTTTTATGCTAATTTTAGCATTTTCAGCTAATTCTAAATGTTATGCACTCATTTAAACTTTTTTCAGCCTAATTCAGCAAAAATGAGCTCTTTCTGCCTTTTTAGCTGTTTTTTTTCTGCTTTTTACAGATAATTCCCATTATTTTGTGCTAATTTCTGCTTCTTTCATCCTGACTGGGCACAATTGTGTCTCTCCACTTCCATATGGTAATTTAAGCTTCTTTCTGCTATTTTAGCTACTATTTAGCTGGTTTTTGTTTTTTTTGCCAATTACAGCTTTTTATGATAATTTCCACTTTTTGTGTTTATTTCTGCTTCTTTCATCCTGATTGGGCACAATTGTGTCTCTCCACTTCCATCTAGTAATTTAAGCTTCTTTCTGCTTTTTCAGCTACTTTTTAGCTATTTCTTGCTAATTTCAGCCTTTGTAGCTAATTTACCAATATTTGTGCTTGTTTCTGCTTAACGGTATTTAAACCAAATTCTGTAAATATGCATAATATCTGCTTTCTTCTGCCAACTTAAGTTTGTTCTTCCATTTCAGCTATATTTCAGCATGTTTTTAGCTAATTTCAGCTGTTTTTCAGCAAGTTCTTCAGCAATAAGCATTCACACTGCATTTTAGCAGGGAATGCAATTTCTCTAGTTAACTGCGAGTCCTGTTGATTCAACCTGGTAAACACGCCGTGATAAACTTTTGTGTTCATAATTTCAGTTTGTATAGATGATGAAATTATAGAGCCAAGTACATGAGTGTGCACAGTGTTTTGTAATTTTAAGGTTTGTGTACGAGCATCTACTTTAAGGTCTTGACTCCAAGTCTCTAAATCTGAATATATTTGGGCAGTCGCTGACATCTAGCTACAACGAGAGTATTATTACTAAACCATTAGTAGATTTTGTGAAATGTTCATTTAGGTTACCGTCTTGACCACAAATCTAAAAACTCCTCTTAACTCAGACCCAGCCAACCACATATTGTGTCTCTGTACGGAGTTTGTTGTATTTTTATACCTCGTCTAAAGCTGCGCTGGTTTTGGCAAACACAAATAACTGTGCCGTGTTTATAGCAGTTATTTCTTTTCAAGTTGCAGTCATTAAACTGGAGCTTTAAAAGCTAAATCACTATATTTAGCTAACGTGGATTGAAGAGCTGCTAATAGTATTTTATTTAAAAGTTGACAAGAAATGGGGTTTTAAGACAAATTCTGGATGAAGAATGTAAAAGTAGCTGACTGCCCCACCAAGCTTTCTGCAGCTCTATAATTTTTTCTTTTGCTAAACAGGAAACCACATGTCTGACAGCCTCCACAGGGCCCCAGCCGGACGGTTTGTTTTGATTTTGGTGGAGAGCGAAGCTTTTTCTTGCTGCAGACCTAAACCTTCCACCGTGCTCTCCAAGCTGCAGCACACAAGCAAAACCACCAAGATGCTGCGTGAAAAAGCTAAAAGGTAAACAAGAAGAACGTCATCTGAAACTTGACACTTTGGGATTTTTCTTTAAATATATCTACTCTTGTGTCTGAAATACTGAATGTAAACAGAGTTCTTCAGAAGAATGAGATATTTAAGGAAACTAAAGCTTCACTTTTCTCCAAAGACTTGGATTAGTAGATGGTACATGGACTGTACTTATATAGCACCGTTATATCTAATCAAGATACTTAAAGCGCTTTACCAGGGGTGATTCTAGAATCTGCCCTTTAGGGGTGCTTAGCCCCCAGTGCTGACAATGTCTCTTGGCTTGAACAATGGGGTGGCCACTGGCGTCGGAAGCATTTATAATGTAGGGGAGAGACTGGTGTCTCCCACATTTCTGAATAAAGTAGATATCATTTCTGCATTCTGATGTATTTTAACAGGTTGTTAAACATCCACGTTTACCTACATCTGTAAACACTTGATTCAATAACTATTTTAGAGAGCAGGGCACAAAAAGAAGTAGACCTGACCAACAGCTCTCCTTGTGTGAATAGAGCACGTTCTGCTTCTTTCACGCATCCTAACACCCACCGAAATCCATCTGACCGCAAAGCGTCCGTAAAGCAAAACCCCGACAATGTTGTCGGAGGAAAAGGGGGTGGAGCACTTGCAGGTAAGGGATGTTTACCTTGGGGACAAATTGAGGTCGCTGACTGGTCAATTGTTGACGAGCATACTGGATTGATTGACAGGTGGCGTTGAGGATTGAACTCGTGCAAAAACGTCATAGATTTTTCTGATCCATTGAAGTGTCATCATTTATTCCATCTTTATTCCAAATTTATTCAGTATTTTGGTAAATCTAAGATTTGATTTCCTTACAAAATCCTAATGATGGTTTCTTAAATTTTCAGGGGTGCGGAGTTAAAAATTTAGGGGTTCTTGAGCACCCCCAAAAGAGGCTAAAATCACCACTACATTTTACAACACAATCTGTGCCCTCATTTAGCTCCACACACACATTCATACAGCATCTACTACATCTCTACAAAGATAATCTGAATCTATAGAAACTAATCAGAGCTTTATCACATTCATACACTGATGGGACACACATCGGAGGCAATGAGGGGTTCAGTGTCTTGCTCAGGGACACTTCAGCATGTGACTGCTGGTGGAATCAACCCCCCAACTCTCCCATTGGGGGACGACTGGTCTAAACACTCAGCCACAGCCGCCCCAAGACCAAAACCACAATCATAACTGTAATGGTTGTAATCATACATGTGGTGTTTAAGGTAGATGATGAATATATTGTATTTAAATGAACTTATTTCTGACACCAGTTTGACAACTAATCTTTGAAATCTTGTTTTCTAGGTTAATGTAGTGCATAAACCAGACAGACCATTAAAACCCCACAGCAGAAATGGCACCAGTATCAGTGTGGGCGAATCTTGATTATCACACTAAAAATGGACAAACTTAAAGATTTAAACTGCAAAGTCTTTATGATTTCCTTCTCTCTCCGTTTTGCTTTCTTCAATATCCTGTATTTTCTTGCAAAACAAAACAGTTTTGTTGCACAGAACAACTTCCAACTTTGCGTTTGACCGTGTAAAAGCACATCCGACATACGAGACAGGTCTGTCTGATTCTCGTGGAAAGAATCTAGGAATCAGTGTTCACGAGATTTGCTGTTCGACACGGATGTGTTGTGGCACGCTGGGCCACAGATTTCACCCGCAGCCTTTCTGCTCGTTATATCTGAAGACAAAACATTTGACATCTGAACACCCGCCCCCCCCACCATCTTACTGTCTGCAATGACACAAATAAACACATTATAAAACCTTACAAGTATTTTATCTGTACTGTGTCACGTATTTGTTCTGCATCCAAAGTGGCTTCCATTTATTGAAGTTAGTCTAATTTCTAACTCATTTCATTATAATAATACTGTATTTTTCAGACTGTAAGACGCACTAAAAATCTTGTAATTTTCTCAAAAATCAACAGTGCGCCTTATGTATTAATTCTGGTTGTGCTTACTGACCTCTAACCCTTTTTATGTGGTACACGACGCTCAAAATTTTGTCAAAATGAACTTATTTTGCTTAATGCGCCTTATAGTCTGAAAAACACGGTACTTCTGATTGTTTTCGATGTAATCTGTTTAAGCCTAATTATCAGAGTAACACAAAAACAGTGATTAAAGGGTGCAAATCTCTTTCAGCTGCTTTGAAATGTTCTGCACGATGTTCAATCTATTGTTTCGTTTAGGGAAAACACTAAGTGGTAAGTGCCACAAAGGAGCGCTCGTTCATAGAAGGCCTGGTGTTGACTTGTTTATATTTCAAATGGAGTTGCCTACTTTTAACGCTGGCTGAGAAGTCACAGATACTGCACCGACATACTCAGGAGCGTGCGAACGCCTTTCCATGACGTGGTTTGCGCCGCGCAGATGGTTTTTATTTGGCTCCCCGCTCAGAGTCAGGTCTCAGAAATGTATCTCTGTGTTACTTTTATCAGGATGCTGCGTCCAAAACACATTCGGCTCCAGCACCAGCTCTGCACTCTAGACTCCCCTACAGCTGCTTGCACTGCATCGCAGCACACATGTTAGTGTTCATGCATGACACCTCACGAAACAAACGGATAGAAACTGGCAACACGTCAGTTCACCTACAGAGATGATGTTACCGACTAATTCAGCACAGACTCTACAAAGGTCTAATCTAAAGCAGAGGGGGTTCACAAAGGGTTGAAGGAAGTGGTGCAGCTTGGATGTGGTCCTTGCTATATGGCTGTATGAAAAGGGGGAGACATTTTTATTAAATTAACCAAACTCTGCAGCTCCAAGTGTGTTTAGTGTAGCCGTGGGAAGCTAAAGGCAGTTGTGAGCAGGTGTGAATTTATATGACCTTAAACACCCATATGAAGGATATTGTGACACCAAATATTATGAAATTCACTGCGACAGTCTCGGTCTTCTCTGAATATGGACACTGAACATACGTTGTAATATTTGTAGTTATATTCATGACACTTCCTACTTTTTGGGGGGTTTTAGGTGGTTGCAAAATTCTGCACACACATAAGCAGCATTAATGAAATCTGGCTTTAACTGTTTCTTTTCATTATTTAAATATGTATTTAGACATGTGTGTCCTTTGACAGGGGCGGCACAGCCAGCGAGAAGGTGCCATGATCCAGTTTCATCCCACAGACCAAAAACATGCATGTTAGGCTGATTGGTAACTCTAAATTGTCCCTAGGTGTGAGTGAGAGAGTGAATGGTTGTTTGTCTCCATGTGTCCCTGCGATGGACTGGAGACCTGTCCAGGGTGTCCCTCGCTTCTCGAGCAGTGGTAACTGGATATGGGGACCAGCTCCTTGCAGGGAGTACCAAGTACTGGGGGTATCGATGGCAGCACCCTCTGCACCCCTACTTCCCAAAGCCTTGGTGATTAGTTTGTTTCAGCTACCTGTTTTGGTTGAGCCATTTTAGTTTCTTCTACACACCTTTAAACCAACGAACGCTCCACAAAAAGACAATGTTTAGATAAGTAAGTGAACTTAGTTGAGTCAAACATGAAAGAAACATCCAAAAAAGTTCAATCTGGTCCTCTGGACATTCAAAAAAACAAAACAAAGCAAAAAAATATAGAAACGTTTCGTCTCTCATCCAAGAGACTTCCTCAGTCTGAGGAGCTGTATTCAGCTCTGTCTCTTAAATAGCACCTTCTCAGAGTGGATCAACCAGTTTGCTGCTGACAACCAAAACCAGCTGATCACATGCTCAAGAAGGACCATCAGCCTAACAATGGATCATTAGCACACTGATGGCTGTTTAAGCAGCAAAATGGTTGATCCACTCTGTGAAGGTGCTATTTAAGAGACAGAGCTGTATACAGCACCTCAGACTGAGGAAGTCTCTCGGATGAGAGACGAAACGTTTCTATATTTTTTTGCTTCGTTTTGTTTTTTGTTTTTTTGAATGTCCAGAGGACCAGATTGAACTTTTTTGGATTTTTCCACCTGGATTATTGAGCATGCATCAGGATGAAAGAAACATATTATTTCCATAAATGGAGAAGAACAGAAAACGCAACAAACTGGGACTAATAATAAAATATTGTCTTTTTTAAACATGTACAAGTCAGAGTTTGTTGGATGTGTTAAACAGCCAAATGTCTGCTTAGAGCTGATCTGGATTGCTCCTAAAATGTGCCCAAGTTGTTTTTATAGACAAAAAAGTCTGACGTAACTTACTTTGATCAAATAAGACGTGGCTGTTGCACTCTTCCTCGGTGCAGGAACAGATGAAGAACTGCAAGCCCATGCCCCTTTTCTCTTTCATGGTACACTTGCTGTTGTTGTAATCGTCCAGGACCAGGCCGTACAGCTTCTGAGCTGGGTTGTGGCACACCGTATCAAAGGTGATGTTGTCATCTTTCTTCCTCCTTGCACAGGGAAAGCACAGAAAATCCTTCCAGTCGTTTATTAAGTTTGATTTACGAAGGCTGCCGCTTTCCATAAATACCAACTTGCATGTTCAACACCGAAAGCAATTAATATTTTTCAGCAGGAAAGAGTCTGAGCCGCTGCTGTAAATGTCATGCACCGATTGTCTCTTTCAGAGCACAGCCTAGGTATTCTGTAAATGACAGCAGCAATAAAGGTCATTAAACAAAGTGACAACTATTTCAACCAGAAAAGAGAGCGCTGCTGTCCGTGTACCATTAGCTTTCTGCTAACCGCAGCTCGTTACGCTACGTTGGGAGTATAATGAGAAACATCAGCGTGGCCTTAAGCTTTTAACACCAACAAATCTGCTTCCTGTTGCTTTGGTCATTCAGAGTCAAATGTGACGCTGTTGAATGGTTAGATTGACACATTTACCCTAATTTACCCTGATTTAGAAAATAAATAAAATCCCCTAATAAGTACACTTGACAATATTTTTATTATTGAATTAAATCTATGAGACAACTTTGCTGCAGCTCCACTCACCATATGGTGACGCAGACTTCGTCGTCATCGGAGCAGATGGATGTTTTGTTACACTCTACCTCACAGGTGCCTTTACCTGTGCAGGTGGTCGCCTGCACATCACAAAACTTGCACAGCCTTTTTATCTTCAAACTCATCTCTGGAATAAGGGATTGGAAAAAAAACAAAGAAAGTTAGGAGAGTAGAAGCAAAAATGTCATTTTTTTCCCCATATTGCTTGATGTTTATATCTGATGGTATTGTATACTGTATACAGTAGCTCCTCAATACTTTGCGGTTCGACTTTCAAGGACACTCTTTCCCAGGTTTTCAATGTAAGATTGTACACAACACACAATTGGCTGAATGATAGAAGGCGACCAACCAGAGCATTGTCCTGAGGTGTGGACTAGCCATCGGGAGAACCGGGATGTATCCCAGTGGCCTGGCCCACTCAGTGATCGCCATGGGGTCCCCTCCTTTCTCTTTTTGATGATCTCTGTCACAAGAGAGCAGAGACACACAACAGTTGGGAATATAACCTGTTGTGCATCTCTGCTCTGCTGTGACAGACAGCCTCAGAAAGAGAAAGGAGGGGGCGGGGTCTGTCTTTCCCCATCGCTACTGTGGGAGCTTCAGTGAGGCGGCTACCTGAGCGAGCGGCATAGATTGTTTCCTTAAAATAATCAAGCGCAACCCAAACAGAGCCTTTAGTCTAGCCCCTGGCGATCACTGAGCAGGCCAGGCCACCAGGAAATGCCCTGGTGCCCGATGATGAGTCTGCCCCCGGTTTGGCTCAGTAACCGTAGCATCAGTCTGTCTGCTCTCTTTTGCTGTGCTCTTTTAGAGCGTTTAGAATATTGCACGAGAAGGGTTTATAAAGCCTTAAAATATATATAAATACAACAAAAAAAAAAACCCCGTCCCTACGTTACGGATTTTCACTTATCACGGGGGTGTTTGGAACATAACCCCTGCAATAAGTGAGGGACTACTGTATATCTGCGTTCAATGGAGTAAAACAATTTACTGAAGAATCTTCTGGAATTTGTCTTTAAGTAGAAGCAGATACTCAACAGACAGTCACAACTATTTTATCCCAGGAGGGGAGGGTGGACGCATTCTTCCCAGTGCAGTCCTCCTTTAGTCTTGCTGAGACTTGCCCCTGCCAGGAGGCTCTCAGATCAGTCAGGCAGACTGGATCGTGTGATGAGTGTCGCTGCGTGTTTGATGATCGCCCGAGACAACTGCCAGACATGCAGGAGCAACAAACAAAAGGAAATGCTTCTTTGAGCAACGGAGTCTTTAATTTGCCACCACGTCGGGTAAAGAGCGGTGTCGCGCCAACGCCAATAAAAACAAAAAAAGGCCGGAGACAAAAACTGGATCTGGGTTTAAGAGGGGAGGAAGAAATGCAGCAGACTGATTTTCTTCCCACAGAACGTCATATATTGCTGTTTTGTGTGGTGTTATTTTTGTATGGAGGGGCCTTCAATAGTAGGAAATCAGTAATAAAGCTCAGGTGGGTGTAGGAAGACGGGATGAAGCCTCAGAAGCTGAAGAATGTAAGAGGTCAGCTGATTAGGGTTTTTAGTAGTAAATGGTAAATGGACTGTACTAGATAGCACTTTTCTATCTTATCAAGATACTCAAAGCTCTTTACAATCTGTGCCCTCATGTACCCATTCATACAGCACTCTACTAGATCTATACAAAGAATAATCAGTGCTTTATCACATTCATACACTGGTGGGACACACATCAGAGGCAATGAGGGGTTCAGTGTCTTGCCCAGGGACACTTCAGCATGTGACTAGTGGTGGAATCGAACCCCCAACTCTCACATTGGAGGACGACTGCTCTAACCACTCATCCACAGCCGCTCCAAGGTCAAGAAAGACCTTGGGAAATGAGGGAAACTGGCCTGAAAAACATTTCTGATTAATATTTATACACATTACAGCAGAGGTGGTCGACATTTTTTTTTCCAAAGGGCCTCATAGAGAATTGGAAAATAAATTTCCTTTATGACAGATAATCTAGAATACCTTTTTCTTATTGTAGCATAGTTAGCAAGCTTCATAAAACAAGTCTTTCCAAAATCCGTTAGGAATATAAGACATATTCTGCAAACTGGCCCAGTGACAATACATTACACATGTTAGCAGAAATACGCAAAACAAACGTATATATTTGTGTTTGTAAGTCTTAAAGGTTCGGGCTAGTTCTGCAAACACAATGACAAAAATGTTTTTAAAATAATTTTGAATAAGATGGTTAATTTAAATTTCCTTAGGTCTTTTTGATAAATTGCTTCTTTTTTCATCAATCTTTAATTTAAATGTTGTGGTTTTTTTAAAACTAAGGATTAGGGATGCACGATATTGGATTTTTGGCCGATATCCAATATGTTAAAACTTGTTTGGCCGATAACCGATACCAATACCGATATTTATTCCCCTGGACCTACTTACGGTACAGAGACTACTTAGCTTTCTCTGCTGTAGAATTAAAATATTACATTATTCTGCATGGTCTTTGTTTACTTGGCCTGTTCCCAAATGCAGAAGCCAAAAAGGGGACTGAAAATGACGTAACACTTCAACTTGGATTATGTTTAATGTCAAACGTATTCATCACATTTACTCTCTCTGACACAATGACAACATTTGAACAGTGCAAATTTGTAAATTTTCACACATCTAAACTCACATTGATCACAAGCGACAAATGAAAAGTGCATAAAAAGTAGTAGTGCATTAATAGATATATGACAGTTTATTAAATTCAAACTAACTTAAAACAGAAGCTTTTATATCAGTGAGTTATTTTGATGGAATGGCCGATGTCCTATATTTAACTTTATCGCTAATATCGGTCGATACGATACCATGCTGATAATATTGTGGATCCCTACTAAGGATATTGGGGGCCTGATGGAGATTGTCCAAGGGCCACTTTTGGCCCTCAGGCCTGAAGTTGCCCATGTCTGCATTACGGTGTATTAGATTGAAAACAAACAAAAATCTGCAATTGCAGCAATTTAAAGTCCAAATGCAGATCGGCACACATCCTCATCATGTCACTCCTTTTTAAAGGTTTGCTAAGAATGCACCACCAAGTATAACATTATGCATGTTTTCTGCCTACAAACATTTCCTCTCTGACAAAATATGAGGCTCTGAATAAGAATAAAGTCTTTATCTTCTTGATCGATCTGGCATCATTCCATTAAAAGTGAGCGTAACATTTTAGCTAACACTCTTTAAGGTTTGTTAGTAAGCCTGTCACGATAACAAATTTTGCTGGGCGATTAATTGTCTCAGAAGTTATTGTGATGAACGATAATATTGTTTGAAATTTGACAATAATTAGTAATTTGGCAATAATTAATAATTATTGTCAAATTTAAGAAGAAATGTTGGTTAATTTGTTTTGCATGTAGTACCTTTTTTGATCACCAGATGGCAGTATAAGACTGTTTGAACAAAAGGATGGATAGTGAGGGAGCTAGCAGTGCGTCTCTAAGAAAAATGGGAGGGAGGCCCCTTGACGTGACATGGGCTGTCTCTCCTTCATTGTTTTTTGTTCTCAAAATGGCGGACGCTCGGTGTGGTTTGAGCTCTTTAGCATAGCATTTTTCACACAAAACTTTTACTTAAAAAAATCAGGAAACAAGTTCTCAGCTTCTTTTTGCAGAGAAAAACAACTTTTTACATGAAGAAACGATAAAGCCGATAAATAAAAATGAGGTTGATAATTTTCATTTATAATGCGATTAATTGATTTGTTTATTGTGACAGGCCTAGTTGTTTGTGTATTAAAATCTAATTAAACGGCCGGCGGATCAATCAGTCTATCGATTAAAAAAATGCATTCTTTCTTTTCCGATGGATTCTAAAGGAAATACTGAGTTTTAGTAGCATTTCTTTATGTTAGAACAAGGTGCGCAAATAATCTAGAGTATATGGTTAAACTCAAGGCCCGGGGGCCAAATGTGGCCCTCGTTGACATCTTATCTGGTCCCCAAGATGTTATTCTAAATGTAAAATACTTTTATCAATTTAATTTTTTTCAATAATCTTTGATTAAGATGTCAAAACTGCAACAGAAAATGTCAAATGAGACCAATCAAACTCTTGTTGAGGAACCTGCAACCAAGAAAAGATGTTGGGTTTCTAACTTGAGTGCACTTAGATTCTGAAATCAGCCCTTAGTTTGAAAAAGGGTTTAATTTTGGCCCCTTTTTGTAAGTGAGTTTGACACCCCTGATCTACAGAGATGATCGATTTGTACAAAAGTTAGCTTTTCTAAGGTCACTCGCATAAAAAGGAGGAAAAACGATAGAAAATGAGCCCCAACGGGAACGCTTCAACACTGAGCTGCTTCCTGATTTGTGTGGGAAATAACAAAAGAAAAGAAATAGTAAAAAAAAAACTTAAGACATTGTGACTCAACAAGCCACAGACCCACACTTCAGCTGTGTGCTGACTCTGTGCACAGGAAGTTGAACCTGTTGTTTGCACCAGACATGAAAACCAGTATGCTGCTTAAAACAAACAAACAAAAACAAAAAAATTAAGGTAACACGCAGAGCATGCGATGTGGAAGATATTCGTGTTGGAGAGGCAAGTCGATCACATGGTCACAGAGTGACACGTCCTCAGACTGGGAAGTGTAAGTGAAGCTTCCTGGCAGCAAAACGCCTTTACACCAATTTGAGAAACGCTTCAGATGGTTCGTACTCCTAACTCAGTACAAAAATCTTACTGTGTCAGTTTAGCCACGCTGCAGGGTGGGGGGTGGGTGGGGGGGCTTTGCTGTAAATTCTGCAGCACGGAGGAGCAGAAAATCAACACCAAACTTTACAGCGATACGTCTCTGCAGCCTCTCGGTCTGCACCGGAGTGAAATACTTTCACACGAACCTCTCAGGAAATTGCAGGCAAATATTGCTTCCTGAGCCCGTCTCAACTGTCAGGACTCCCTCGCAAATAATAAAACTTCTCAACGAAACGCTCCAACTCCGGACTAAACTGGACGACAGAGCAATTTGAAGCTCTGCCCAGAGGGCTGGAGAGGTGTTTTGAAGTAGATCAACACAGAAAAGTGCCTGAGTGGTAGGAAGGTGGCTGAGCCGGAGTAATTATATCATTAGAGTAGCTTCTCTGTAAGAGAGCATGTCATTTAAACCCAGGAGGAGGGCTGTGGAAGGGATGAATGCTAGTAATTGTCACCCAGGGCTACATATAATTGCAAAAAGAAGGAGGGAGGAGGGGATTAGGAGCAGCCAAAGCCACTTACTTGAGACCGAGTCCGAGAGATATGGGTGTATGATAGCGTTCTCCTCAGGGGTGGCAGCTGGACCTGGAAGCATGGTGTCATCAAAGACAAGGAGATAAGAGATGAGGAGGAACAAGAACACAGCAACTCATGTCTGAGAGGTCCGGAGCACAAACACTTTAAAGGTACGCATTCCAACATCAAGACTGGGCATAAAATATACAGTAAGCATTCAAATCTGTACAATTTATGACTATTTATTTATCTCAAACTGAGTTTTAATGTATCCTATGTGTTTGTTTACCTATGGAAACTACAGGGAGCTACACATGTTAGAAAGATGAATATATGAACACGCAGAAGAACTAAGTGAGTCCACAAGAGTCAACACTTGAAGAAAACAAAACAAAACAAATACAAGCA